GGGGGGAGCCACGGGCGGCAATCTTCCTCTTGATTCACGGCCCGCTTGTTTTGGAGCTCCTCTTTTGCTCCCCGCGATAATAAATGATTCCGTCCGCCGCGCCCTGAGGAGCTGGCTCCAGGTGTATCGGCTGAGCAGCCCGTCACGAATCTTGACACTTACAATCTTGTTGCTAGGTAATTTGTGTTGTTTTTTTACAATGAGCTTAATTGCATTTGTTTTCGTAGCTACAATGACTCACAGGGTGGGTGATCTGCGCCGTCCTTTTCTTTTCTGGTTACAGTGTACCGAATTCAGGCGTGCGGGAGGGCTTGCTTACCGTCACTCGCCGTGGCGCCTGACGGCGGCCCCGTGCGAGTATGCAACCCGTCCACACGCCTGAATCCGGTACAGAATAACACGAAAGAATAAAGGGCAGATCACTCACCGTCTCGACTAAAACATATACACACAATAAGGGGGTTCGAGGGGGTGAATTACAGCGAACAGTCGTGCGTCGTGGAGCTTGGCTAATGGAGCCCTCTCGACACGTACGGGTCGCCGCCGGGTCGCGCGGGTCTGGCCTGGCTGCCACAGGCCACAGGTGGGCCGTGGCAGCCGTGGGCCCCCCGACCACTGGACCCGTGGGGGGCCCGATAGCCGCTGGGCTTGGGCTCCTCGGTGCCCCCACCGCGGCTCTAATGGGGAGCATTACCGCGTAATGGCGCCGCCTTTTTAAAAAAATGCCGATGAACTGAATGAATTTGAATAGTTTGTTGAACGACCGCTTTAGAAATTAAACGCATTCTTAGAAAAAATATTTCTGTTTTTCTTTGCTATAGTGATAGCAACGGTTATGTGCGGTTGCTTTTGTGTCAGCTACCCCACGTTGGGCGTTCCCCGGGGCGACCGAACACCCCGAAACACCCCATGAGTAACACTGGGGGCTCGCCATATCGTCCGAACCACACGGCCGCCCGCACATTCTGCGTAATCTGGACAGAAATGTGACACCGCGGACAAAAGACAGTGCCATCGAGCTGTCTCTATCGCACATGTGTGTGAAGAGCGGTGAAGAGCTTACGGGCTGTTGCCAAAGTCTCCGTGCGTAGTGCTGTTTTGGGGCTCTGTCCTGTTTCGTCCTCTGCCCTATGCGGGGGCCCGCGGGTGATGAACGGTTCTGCTCCATCGGGGACACCGACACCGTGACATTTCCTCCAGCCACAGAGAAAACACGTCCAACCAATGACTCAATCGTTGCGCGCCGTCTGCCTCTTGGTAATCCACTAGGCTTTTTATTTTTGTATTTTTAAAAAAGTAAACGAATGCGTGTTTTCTGCTTTAACTTGGCGTTTGCTCATGTGGGGTAAAGGGTATGGTTTTGTACGAAATGCTTCCATTTAGTGTGACAACGCGGCGCAGGAAAGGGCTATGGTCCAGGCAGACTTTTGGTTTGGGCTGGGATAAGAACTGGGCTTGTGTCAAGGCCGCACAGCGACCATGCCGCGCCACACCACGCCACCCTGCTCGGCTCGAGGCCACCACACCTGTCCTGTACACAGAGTACCTACTCACACACACAGAGCGCAGTCTCCCCCCCCCC